TGGTCTAATATTGGAATATTCCAACTCCCTTCTCAAGATGGAATATCTTGAATTGTAGGGAGAAAATCAGAGATGCAAGAGAAGCCGTGGTCGACAATAATGTCCAAGGAAGAAGGAATCAGAGAAAAACAGCAACATAATTCAACCAAAATAAGTGAGCATCCATGGCTGCAAAATCAGGCATTTGCTGAAGACAAACATCATNGAAGCCATTGTCGACAATAACTTCCAGCTAAGAAGCTAGTCATAGAAAAACAACAACATATTTCAATTGGAATAGGTGAGCATCCATGGCTCTAATACCGGGCATTTGCTGAAGACAAACATCATCAACATTGATGAGTAAAAGAAAAACTGGAAATGCTAAACAAACTCCAGCAATATAAAACTGGATGGATTATGACCACAAGGCAAACTCTAATAGCCATTGAACTGCTGTAATAAAAAGAAACCCATGTTATCGTCAGACTCTTCATCCAACTCCTCTTTCTTCTCCTCCTCGGCAGATGGAGCCGGTGCACTACCAGAATCAACAGCTGTAGCCGAAACAGCATCAACTGCAAACTTGCTGGGATCCACAAGATACTCCTTAACTGTATCAGCCGGGGGAAGAAGTAATCAGTTTCAACAGCAACGACCTTGTATATTGGGGTTAGAGTGAAAGTAAGAGGTTCTGATAAGCATCCTTGTCAGACAAAAGCTTTTGAAGCTCATCAACGCTTTTATCTTTCAACATAGCGATGATGCCAACAGACTCTGCAGGTGAAACATTTGATAAGTAATTTATCTGATCAACAGGTCTTGGTATGTTGAAGTTGCTGGAAGAACCAGCACTAGGTGTTGTGGGGTGTGAAGAACTCGAACTGACAACAAATGGTTAATACCATCAATCTCTGGGCACTTCTTGTAGGTGTGGCTGAGCTTGCTGCTCCTGATAACCCCAGAATTTGAACATATCGTCTGAATCTTGGAAGAATTATTGATTAAGGAAAAGAATCGAAACCAAAGAGAGATAATCTTGCTGCTCTGA